GGGGAGACACCAAGGCCGGGGATGGTGCACACAGGGACCCCGGCTCTACTCCAGAGGAATCGTGGTGGCAGGTCCAAGAGCCTCCTGGAGCCTCGGCAGCCCCTCTATGTGGGGCCGAACTGGGCGGCAGGAGAGGGGAGCAGTCACAGGGCACGTACCTCTTGGTCCCGCGGGGCTGACATGCAGCAGCGTATGGTTCTTGAAGATGCTGCTGCACTGGTGCAGCCGGATCTCACACACGTATGTGCCAGTGTCGTTCACCTGTACGTCCTCCAGCTGGATGGAGCCATCCCAGTGGGAGACATCCCCTTGCCACTGCACCCGGTGCTTGAAACGGCCCACAGCGATGCTACGGTTGCTGTAGTAATAAAACACCATCTCGTCCTGCCAGGGCACAGACAGGATAGGTGAAAGAAGCGCAGCGGAAGGGCACTGCCCCGTGTGCCTTCCCTGCTCAAGAGCCCTCAGACCCACGCTCTCTCCCCGTGGAGTGCTTGCCGCACGCGAGAGCCCAGCTCGCTCCCACGCCCTCGGAAAGCCCCTGATGCAGCACCCAGCGCTGTGGTTCCCCTGCAGTGCGGAGCTGTGGGGAGCGGTGGAGGTTCCCCACTGCCACGCAGGGGAAGCTTCCTCCTCTCAGGGCCTGAGCCATGCAGCCGGGCTTCCCCGCAGCCTCCCGAGAGCAGCATGGCTGCCCCGCCCCCCCCCTCCAGCCCTTGGCCACTGGGTCTAGGAAGAGGCACTGCAGCAGGACGGAGTCCCCAGCGCTGGCCCGAAGCTGGGACTCTGTGAACACCCAGCCAGCTGACCCGTCGCATCGCTCTGCCAGGGACAAGGACAGCAGGATGAGTCCAGGGAGGACGGCCAGATGCAGCCTGCCTGTCCGCATAGGTATCTCCTCTGCAGATAAGCCTGGGGCTAACAGCACTGACCAGTGCAAAGCCTCTCCCTGCCCCCTGCTTTTGGCGTGCCCAGGATGCGGGGCAGCACATCCTCCCAGCCGCCAGACCAAGGGCTGCCGCGCTCGCCGAGCAAGCCACGCAGAAGGCAAGTGGGGAAGCACAACCCCAGCCCTCTGCGTCTCCAAGCCGAAGCCTGCAGCTCCTGCAGGGCTGTTCCTGTGAGTCACTGGCTGGGAGAACCAGCGCCGCTCTCATCTGCACCAGGCCAGGGGCAATTCAACCACTTCACATGGATTTCAGTTCCTCTTTCACAACCTGCCCATTTGGCTTCCTTACCCCTTGCTCACAGGCTCCCGACCTGGGCTTGGTCTTGTCTGGTCACATAACTACTGCTTAGGGTTTCTAGAGAAGCTGGACAGTGGAGGGGGGGGAAAAAAACAGGGACATCAAAGAGCCCAGAGCTGACATAACCAGCACGGAGCAGCTGCCGACACAGCAGGCTGCAAAGCGTGTGGCAGGAACAGGAAACAAGTGGGGCAGAAAATGCCGCTGGGGCTCGTCATGAGAAACCCTGTGTGCCCCAGGGTCTGCACTGGCAACACCTAGCAAGCAGAGCGGCTGAGGCTCTGGCACTTGTTTGTCAAGAGCTAGGTGAGTTGATTCAGTGGGAAGCTGCTCAGACAGGTAGACTTTTCCTGGTGTCTTTGCCTCTCTGCTCAGTCTGTCCACAACACTGAGGGCTGGGCCCTGGCGAAGCACCAGATACTTGTCTGATGCCCTGTAAATAATAAATGCAAAGTGCTACACCTTCCCAAACCGGTTTCTTTTGGTCTTGACCAGCTGTGGAGTTGAAAATGACAAATATTTGCCAGTGGAGAAGACCAAGGGAGCCAGCTGCCTTGAGCAGAGCCAAATTCAATACCTGGGAAGCCTTTCCCTGTATTTAGACTTGGCAAAGCAGTTCTGCTTCTTTCAAAGCCTCAGAGCCTGGCAGAACAAGTACAGGACTCCATCTAGGGATGCCATCACAATTTGAAGCCTATGTATATGGGAGCTCTGCAGGATGGGAATGTGCAGCGCCCAGAGCCCAGAGGAGTTACTGGTACCCAGGAGCCCAGTTACTGCTGCCAGCTCCACGCGCCTGCGAAACCCCAAGGGGTTCTCACCGCAGGAAGAGAGAAACCGAACAGTCTTTCAAAGGCAAAGGGGAAAGCAGGCAAGGTAAGTAAAACCACCAGAATGACTTACAGCTTACCCAGAAGTGTCAGCAGCAGAGTCAGGCTCAGCAACACCTTCATCTTATTCTAGCAAGAACAGCAGAGGTGACGCATGCATCAGTTTCCCCGGGGCAGGACACCAACTTGCAACCGAATTGAACTCCACGGTCAGAAGACGACTTCCTTCACTTCTTCGGAGAGGGACACAGTCTTTGCTGCCTGGATGTTCAGCCTCTCAGGCTAGCCACTATCCCAACTGGCAGCCTGCAACTCAGTCAAGCGCAGATATCAGGCACGACTCCGGTTTGACGCTGCTCTGAGCCCTGGAAAGGAAGAGAGGGCAAGCAGGGGGAGGGCTCAGCCTGAAAAACCTTTGCATTTTCCCCTAAGTAATGAATCTTTCTGGTGGTTTGGGGGTCGAGTTTCCAGCATCTGAACCGAGACATTCACAGATGTTGACTCTGCTCAGAAGCAATGGGACGTTTTTTCTGCTACATGCTCAGAGAAGCTTGGTCCTGAAAACACAGACCCCTTACTCTAGAAATAACCCCTTGCTCCAGGGTGCTGCATACGGTGAGAACTTCTGCTGGAACCCTTCAGTGTCCATTCAGACAGTGCCACGTTTGGTCACAGTATTCAGTTTGACCTGCTGCACATCTCTCAAAATCAAACCGACGCCTCCTTTCAACACATAGTAGATATATCCTCCAGCCCGAGGAAGGACTGGCCATCATCATCGGGAGCATGCCAGCCAGCGTTCACGCGTGGATCACAGGAAGGCAGTAGTCAGCACCCTGCTTGCTGTGTCTCTGCTCCATGACTCAAAGCTGTGCCCATTCAAAAGTGATAAACGTCTTGAAGGGCAAAACGTTATAGAGAGAAGCCCTCCTGCTTGGAAAACCTTCACATTAGAGCTGAATTTGAGGCTGCCGTTACCAGCAAATGTTTTCCAATACATGCATTTTTTGCTGCAGAAATTGACAGGCAACAAGAGCCAAATCATCTCTGAAATCTTGCTAGCTTCTCTCATTTTTCCTCCATGCCCTGAGAAAGCTGCCGTCTCTTTACACAACCAGACATGCTTGCTAACTCCTTTTTCTTTCCAAATGCGTTCTTCTCAGCAAAGGAAGCTCAGAAACCCTGAGACAGGCTCAGACAGGGATTACAGACCCAGAATTGGCTGCTGCGGGCCCCATGGGTCTGTTCCAGGCTGAGAAACAGTCACTATGGCTTTCCCGTCAGTGCCTGGTGTTCTTGCCTGCAGTCCATGATGTAAACCCACCTCTGCCCTTCATCACCCTCCCCTTTCCACAAACAAAATCCTGAAAAGTGGCAGCAAGCCTTCTGGAATTCTCTCAAATCTGCCTTTCAACCAACAGGACCAGTTTGGGGGCTGGGTTTTTTGGAGGTGGAGGGGAGAGCTGTGTGGTTTGCCTGCACTGTCTGCAGCTCTGCCATGACACAGTTTGCTGCACAGCCCGCGCTTGTGCATGCGCGACCTACAAACGCATGCCCAGCTCCAAAGCTCTCAGCTGGTGCAGCATATCTCGGTGCAGCGGGCCAAAGCATCCTACTTCCCAGCTATACTGCCAAAAGCCACAGAGCTCAAGCAGAGCTACACTCTCCCAGGACCACCCGCACGCAGGACCCAAAATAGAAGCCAGCTTAAAAAAAAGTCCTCAGCACAGAGAAGCCTGCGTACTGGGATATCTACACTCAGACTTCAGAAGTTGTCTGCAGCCGAGCTACTGAGGCTCTGGTCCTTATTTGCCATCAGATCCTTCCTGGATTTACTACCCGGTTGCTCAGAATAAATTCTGGTCCTGTCTGGGAAGACGTTTTTGCAGGGTCTCCCTCTGCAACACGCACCAGCAAGTGGGCACGGTGCATGCATCAGCTGAAAACAGCACCCACCCACCCAGGCTGTTATGTATATTACAGTGCTGACACATCCAATTCATTCAGC